TGACGAACACAATGCAATATTTTGACGATGGAAAAACGTTACCAAGTGCATTGAGTTGAGAAGCACAACGATCACAAAAAAACACTTTTAAATACAATATTGTTTTGTTTGACAAATTTAAAGAGATTTTCAAAAGATTGTGTTGTCCTGTTTCTCATTATGGCAAAAAATAAAATTTGTGTGTTGTTTGTTCTGTCGGCAAAATTTCCAACAACTAATGGAAAGTTGAAATAGTTTGTGGTTGCAGTATCATCAATGAATATGATATCATGAACACTTTCAACCAAAATAGTATTAAGAAAAAAACACGAAACAAACTGTCCACTAAAATTTTTTACAAAATAAGTTGTAAAATCACCCAATTCATCACAATAAATGGAAAGTTTCTTTGATTCTAGAGAATTTACCATGTCATAAATATTTTGTGTGACTTTTCGTACCCTTTTAGTATTTACTGAAAGACTCATTTGTGCAGGTTTCATTCCAGCCTTGGCATATGCTAAAATATCATCATGTTGCTCTTTTGAAATGTTGTAGTGAATGTTTTTTTGGAATAAAGTCGAAACTGTGGTTGTGTTTTCCAATGACCATGATCTCATCTAACACTTTTTTTGTCTTCGAAAATTTCATATTAATACCACAATTACATTTTGTTGAATAACAACCAAAATTCTATATTCTCTTGTTTTTATCAGTATGTCTTGCTTTGAACAATGAGTATTGAACACCACCTGCAGCAATCATTGATGCATCACTCATTTGTTTGGAAACGATGTTGATATCAAAAACGGTTTTTGTGATGTTGTTGATAATTTCAGGGGGTGTTTCGACATTTTCCATATCCCTGAAATCATATTTGACATTGTGAATCAACATCGGTATCGTGTTTTATGAGTTTGATCTAAAAATTGAGTAAAACAAAAATTAATTGATATTATTAATATAATAATAATGGTTATTATTTTAAACAAAACAATAACAAATCTAAGAAACTATACATTTAATAAATTGTTATTATAAAATAAATAAATAAATAAATAAATAACAAAAATTAAAAATTATAGTATTTAAAACATTTTTGGAATGTTTCGAATAACAAAAATGAATATTTTTAACAAAAAAATACCCCGATTTTTCTTAAAATAGACGGGGTGAGGATGGGAAAGGTCAACCCCATAAAATAGTTATTTATTTTTTATCATAATAATAAATTTGTTATTGTTTATATTTTTTAAAAATGTCAAATATTGATTTGGCCATTTTATAGTAATTAAACTACATTAATTTACTTTTAATGGTCAGTGTTTTCTAGTAAATTTTTAATTAAAATAATTATAAAATTGCAAAATTATAGTTTATCATTTTGATTTTAGTATTTGTAAAAATCTAAACGGGTTATATCAACAACACTTTTAAACTATTCATTTATAGTACATTATGATAAATAAACTATTTATTATTGATTTTATTTGAATTTTTCAATTAAATTTTGAAATTAAATGTATTAAAAAATAGTTTCAATTATTTTTACATTAAAATTGACCAAGCTAAAACGGTTTATAATATTTATATAACAACATATAATTATTTTATTCTTTATTTTTATATATAATAATTTCATTAAAGATTTTATAGTATTTATATATATATATATTATTGTAGTTTAATTGTATTTTAATAAATAAAATAAAATGTTTTTTCTTTGACAAAATTATTGTATTTAAATCGTTCGTGTTAAAAACTACATAAGCATTAACATAATTAGTGTTGATTTATAATTATTGTATGGTATTTTTTACTTGTTACAAGAGACTAGTTTATCACATAGATTAAGTTATAATTTTAGATGGATTTAATAACCCCAAAACACTTTATTTAATTTGTTTTAATCGGATTGTTCTACAATTTTTTAAACCAGAAAAAATATAATACAAAACACGAAAACAATTTAAACAATATATAAATAACTTAAAAAGGTAGTTTAATGTTTGATACATTTCAATTTGCCTTATTTAATAATTTAAACGATTGCATAATTATTGAACTTATTAAAATAAGAAGTAAAATTTGATTGTCTCAATCTTGAAGTTGCACTTCTTCTGTTTATTTACAATCTGTTTGATGTTTTAAGGGCAAATACTGTTTTGTTTTATTATAACATAAATTAATTGATAATTAAGAGTTATTTAAAAAGAATGTATTTATATATTATACGTAATTTAATGTTCATTTTTAATTGCTATCTGTCCGTTTTATGAATTGTTTTTAAAACATAAAAAATAATAGAGTCAGTCGGATAACGTTGTTCAGTCCCCAAACGTTGTACACCTCAGAATCTTCTAAATAATGGCTAAATCTTCTTCAAAAATTAAATCTCAAAATAGAACATTAATAAACATACCAATAACATATTCTTTTACATATTATGTTTTTCTTTTTCCAAATCAAAAATAACATAAAACTAACAAAATCATTTAATTTCAAGATCTTCACGTTATTTGTCATAATCAACAAACACCCCGGAAACCATGCCAAAATGACTATCTCGAATTGAGACCGTTCAATCGGCGAAAGTTGGTTGGTTTCCACTTGCTGTGGTGGAAACATAGAAGGCGTTCCGTCGGGTAGGTGCGGCACTTAGCCGCCTATAGTTTGTTAATATATATTTCCAATTTAATTCAATTTAATTTAAT